ACCTAATAAAGATGACATACCTCTTTGCCCCTTCTCAGACTCTGAGCCAAAGCTCCAACAACTATGGAAGGAGGCCTTGTCACATAATAAGAGATACTAGCTCTTACAGAACATGGTCCGTGATGGAGCTAGACAGATTCCATCTTAATGGGGCTTGCCTATCTCAATCTCAGAGTGCTCAGTTGATGAAGGGTAATGACTGCTATGGAGAGATTATATTTAGGTCCCACATTATGAACCTTTGCGTACAGCCATTATTCAGCAATGTCATGATTCAACCCTTACAGGCCATCCTAGACGTGACCTTTTGAAGGCAATCATCAGCAGAAGATTCACATGGCCAGGCTTGACACAGGATATACAGCAGTTCCTGCCGAATTGTGATATCTGTGGTAGCAAAGCCATATAGAGAGAGAAAAGATGTGGGCTTTTGAAGCCACTACCTATCCCCAAGCGACAATGGAGTGAGATATCTATCAACTTCATAACTGACTTACTAGTGTCCAAATCAGGAGCCACAAACGTGATGGTAATTACAGATTGACTATTCAAAAGCTGCATCTTTAAGGCTATGAAGGAGATAATAGTTGAAGCCGTTGTGGACTCATTAATGGAGTGTCTGATTTAACACCATGGACCTCCTTCAGCAATTATATCAGACAGAGGCCCTTAGTTTATCTCTTTGATGTGGAAACAAATCTGCTCATTGATGAAAATTACCAGAAGACTATCAACGGCATCACATCCAGAAACAGACGGATCCACAGAACAGATGAATCAGGAGTTGGAGGCCTATCTACAGTGTTTCATCTCTTACTATCAGGATGACTGGGAACAACTGCTACCTATTGCAATGCTAGCAATCAATGGCCGTACATCATCTGTCACCGGCATGAGCCCATTCTTTGCGACCCATGGCTATAATATTAAGCCTATCGAAGTCGAAGAACCTCTGAGAACAGAGGGCAAGACACCGGTTGCTAGGGGAGAAGCACTTATCTCCAAGCTGAAGGAAGCAACTGAGGTGGCTCAAATAATGATGGCAGCCGCTCAGGAGAAGTATGAAACATATGTAAATAGGAATCAACAGCCAGCAGAGCAATTCCATGTTGGAGATAAGGTCTGGCTTAATCTTGGGAACATAGCCACCAACAGACCATCCAAAAAGCTTGACTGGAGGAATGCTAAATACACAGTTAAGGAGCTTATTGGCTCACATGCTGTACGCCTAGACACGCCCCCAGGCATACATAATGTATTCTGCGAAGAGCCGTGGATAATCCCTTGCCATCGCAGATTATCCATGAGCCTCAACCACCTGCACTCATCAGAGATGATGGAACGGAGGAATATGAAGTTGAGAAGATCCTGGACCATTGAATCCCGAAAGGCAGGAAGAGAGGCCTGAGACTACTTGTGAAGTGGAAGGGTTATGTGAGACCAACATGGGAACCAGTAGAGGAGTTTGAAGAAACAGAGGCGTATGAGGCATATCTCAAACATAATGATGTATCCAAGCCATCCCGGAATTACAGACATCGTCGACGCTCGTGGTAATATGATGGCTAGGAGTCTCAGCCTCAGATGAGGAGGGGGGTAATTGTCACAGGCTACGGCCTGGGCTGTGGTTGTCGGCCATGCCCTCAACCATAGAACATTCTAGAAGAACCATCAGGAAGAGGTTAGAACCCAGTGGAAGCTTAGGAACATGTATATAAGAAGGAGAGGGAGATGTATCTTCCTATTTCTCTCTCCAAGTTTGCGATATTCGTTAATATAGGATTGCCAGTTGAAAACAATACTGCCTACGCCCGTCACATTACTAATTCTACTTTTTAACTAATGTATTTCTTTATTACTAGGTCCCTGACTCTCCAACCACTCTGAAATTCAGTCAGGAGGCCTGGGAAGCAGAGCTCCTCTGATTTATTACTGTTACGGGCTAGGCCGTAGGTAAACCTATGACTAGGTATGTACAATAAGAACTCGCTGAAGAACTAGAATAGGAGGTGCGCGCGGTCTGGATAGAAATATCCGATTGCGCGCCGCAGCTAGCGAGGTGTCACGTGACCCGGGTGATTAGTACATAGATATTACATTGTACGTGACACAGAGCTGTACGGCTTCGTGAGTGCCTGCTAGGCGGCACGAGCATATCGCGGGCCTTGCTCGCAACAATTACTTTGTCATGACTCCCATTTCAGCTGATTGAACATCCTGCTTTTCAACGTCTGATTTGCATGGCAAACCATGCCCCATCATGTCCAGAGATTCCATCTGCAAAGACAATATGACGTCAGCTACAAGACACTGTCACTGAGAACCAGCAAAGCATCCTTCAGAAGCTTCCTGCTGGTGCAAAGCTTTCAGTTGTACTTGACTGTTAGACATCTCCATTCTAGCAGGCATTTATGGCTGTTACTAGCTACTTTCTTGATGATAACTGGAATTATTGGGAGATCCTCCTTGGCTTTGAACTGCTTCATGGAACACACTCTGGTCTTAATCTAAGCACAGTTCTTTTTGAGTTGCTTTAAAAATACTAAATCATAGACTGAGTGCTTATAATCACAACTGATAATGCATCAAATAATAATACTTTAATGTTAAGTATCTAAGAATCTATCCAGTCACTCAGATTCAGTGATAATACCTCTATTATCCAGGTTCCATGCATTGCGCATGTTATTTAGCTTAGTCTGTAAAAACTCCTTGGGCAAATAAAAGTAAATCCAAAGAATGACATAACTAAAATGCAATGGTCAGAGACACAGGTTCATTCACTTCACACGAGGCAGCAGAAACAAGAGATTGTTGATACACTGAATAAGGTTAGATTGTTCCCTCTTCTACTGCGTACTCACTAATCACCTTCATAGGTCTGAAGCTTAGCAATCTCATTAATGCAAGTCCTCAACGCCGGGAGTTATTTTATAATCTCCAGTCAGGATCACCAAAGCTTTCGCCAATCCAGGATGTCAGGACATGCTGGAATTCAACATTTTTGATGCTTTGACGTGCAAAACGCCTGTAGTCTACATTCGACTAATTTTGCTCTAAGTATGGACATCTGCATCTGATGCTGGACTAAGAAGAGTGGCGCTAAATTAAGTACCTTCTTTGGATTACTCAACCTTTCTTTAAATTTATAACTGCGCTTTCAAAAACCAGAGATGTCACTATCTATCTTATCTTCAGCATCTATAATAAGCTATTTGATCATCTTGAGAAATCAATCCGACAGCTTCAATGAAAGAAAGTGCTATGGAAAACATTAATGCTAAGTGCTCTGCATGCTGCAAAGGAGAAGCTTTCCTATTATTATGGGAAGATAGATGAGATTCCTGGTGATCTCTTTGCAATCAGCATAATTCTTGCACCACAGCATAAGCTTCAATTCTTTACTGGTAAAGACTGGGATAATGATAGCCATAGCTGGCGTGATAGATACCATTAAAGCTTTAAAGATTACCTTAGGCCATATCAACAACGTCTATTAAAGGACTGATCAACATCCCAGACTCAAGTATTAACAGGACTAAGCTCAGAGTTTGAGATTGAGATGCTACTTGCGCCAACTGAGTCTTGTTAATTAATACAGCATCATGAGCTAACACAGTATCTTGAGAGTGGTATGTAGTGCTTGCATCCTCAATTATTTCCTGTTAACCCCCTAGAATAGGCACTGTTTCAGGCACTCCTATCTGTGCCTTCTGGAAAGAGCGTTAACATGAATTTCCAGCACTCGCAAGCCTTGCACGTGATGTTCTATCTATTCCTGCTACTGGTGCAGGTGTAGAGCGTCTATTTAATTCTGCTTGAGACATCTGTCACTATCGTCGGGGCTCACTGAATGCCACAACCATCCAGGAGCTTATGATGTATATGTGTATGATGAAATTTGAACTTGAGGATGAACAGCTTGCTTTTATTAAGGAGTATCTCTTAAGTGGGGAGAGAGAAACAGCTAATGAGGAACAGGATGCACAGCTCCTCCAGGACAATCCTGACCTAATCAGTGATAATGAGGAAGATGACATGGTGCCTATCCAGGAGCAGCCTGCCACTCAGGAAGTTTCCCAGCGTGCGTTCAGTAAAAGATGAAAAAGTGTTGCATCTGAACCTGAGGATGAGGCTCAGGAATCAGCCCTATCTGATGATAATGATCTTCCATTGCCTGATACTCAGCGGCGTGCATCAGTGAGAAGCAGAAAGTGTTTAAGATGTGATGATGATACATTTACATATTATTAGTTGTCTAATGAAAATTATTCCATTCAATTTTAAGCTTCATCCATTGTAATTCCTAAACCTCTATTATAAACCTCATTATTATCATAAAGATCAATTGACATGTAAGACAAATACAGAGAAATATAAGTTAAAGCTGCATAAATTATGCAAGTCATGGGTTCTAGGTGTTTGTATTGTTTGAGGGCCTGCAGGTTACCCGCCAAGAACCCGCGGGCCCAAGGTCAGAACCCGTGCCCGGCCCATGGGCTCTAGGTCAGGCCCAAAACCCGCCAAGAAACGGGTTTTGGGCAGCCCGTCGCGGGTAGCCCGCGGGCTTTGGCGAGGTCTACTTCTGGACTATGAGAAAATACGGTTCTTTTCTCCCCTAATATTGCTTCGCTTGAGTTTCTATACACATTTGAAACTACAGGCCATATCCATACTGGCATGCAGTGTTCTGGTCACAAACCTATATCTGATGAGTACGTCTTCCTACCATCCCATGCATGTACTCTGCTGATCTGAAAGGTACTGCGACGGTTCTGTGCCATCTCTTATAAAAGCCGTCAACAGGCTTATGTCTAGTAAAACTTACGCTGAAATAATGCAATTCAAACCTACAACAGCGGAAATCCCGTAAGAACCGCCAGCCAGATCGCTACAACTAGATACATAAGATCCGATCCACTAGCCCACAGACTTGGCTTGGGTGGGATAGACTTTTTATAGCTCTATTCAGTAGACTAATATTTCCGTTATTCGACAACCTACCACTCACAATACATCACATTGTAGGTGCGCTGCCAACCCTGCGCACATGATCCTCCTACCGATTGACGGTTGTAACAAGTAGCATCCCGATATTTATCACACACGAACTTACCCACTTTTTCGCCGAGTGTACCCACTGGCAAATTTGACCCGTGGTAGCTGCATACGGCACCAAAAGCTTGGAAACCACTGGCTCCATCCGGCATACCTAGATAGGCCCCGTCGGTCTTCACGAAGTCGGGTTTTACTACTTCAGGACATCCGGGGCCGCCACTAAGCTCGTTCTCGTAGTACTGGTACAGATCCCATTCACCGGTATCCTTTCGGTCGTCTTTGTAGTAGCTGATTTTGATGCGTCCCAAGTAGGGGCCGTTCGAGGGAGCAGGACCGCTTGGGGCCGCCGTAGGCGTCGTCAATCCCTCGATCACGGTCAGAGTCCCGAACTTCGAAGAGAGGACCGACTCGAGCGATAGCGCAATGCTCGTGATGGCATCGTCGGGGTCTTCTGTCGGCTCTGGCCACTGCTCCATTGTGATCATGACGCCGGGTGGGGCTGTGCCGACGGTTTTGGTCGATGACGCCGTCGCAGAGCAGCCGGTCGTAGTGGAGCAAGAGAAATCACACCCGGAGCCCGCAACGCAGACTGTAGAGCAGACCTGTGCCGTTTGGGTGCTGCACTCATTGTCTTCGTTGCCATCGGAGCCGCTGCCGCTACCGCTGCCGCTACCGCCTCCACCGCTGGATATATCGCTCCAGTCCGGGGGGCAGGTTAGACAGGGCCCTTTGCAGAACGGCGCGCAGCGGTGGCCGGTGCCCTTGCTACCCTTGCTGGCGGAGGGCGTGGGAGTGCCGCGGGACCAGATGGTCGTGCCCGTGTTGAGGTGAGTGTCCTTCTCAGTCTGGGACCAAGGATACGGGGGTGGCGTGATGGTGGTTGTGGTGCTGGTTGGGGTGGGAGCTGATGCTAAAGGAGGCAGCACGTACACCATATGGGGCAAGGTGATACTGCTCGTCATCTCCACAGTGGAAGGGCTAGTCTGGCTGGCGTTGATCGATATTCCCCAGACCGGAATCTCGGTAATCACGGCTGACATCGAGGATCAGTCGGTGACTCTTTATAGATAGGAGTGGGGTGACACTTACATGTTGGGAAGAGGATAGTAATGGTGGTCGTAGCAATCTCATAACCATGGTAAGTTGTTGTGCTGCCATCATTATCGGTCGTCGTTCTGGTGGTCCAGTAACTTTGTTCGACAGGTGTGCTCCAGGGAGGAATCGAGATGGTGGATGGGCTAGCAAGAGGCAGTGGCGGCATGATCAGGGAGCATGGGGGCTGGCATTGAACGACTGGGGAAGGCGAATCCCAGATAGATGGTGCAATGTAAACATCACCATCCCCAGATCCTGACCCAGAGCCACCACCGCCAGAACCTCCAGATTTTGGCGTGCATGCCCCTTCAGGACAGTATCCACGCTGACAGGTGAATTCGCACAGCGGACTGTAGATGGTCGGGTCCATTCCCGGGGCAGCCATGCCAGTCTTATCAGTCGTAGGATTCATGACATTCAGCGCCCCCTGACCCGTACAGGTACACGCGTTCATGGGACAGAAGCCATGTGCACAGCTGAAGTCACAGAGCCCAGCAAGGTTGCCCTCGCCGGTTCCTGCCGTGCAGGCTGGCGGGAGGAACGGCGAGACCGTTGGTGTGGTCAGGGGAACCTCCACAGTCCCACAGGCCGAGGGCGGACAAAAGCCAAGATTACAATCAAACGAGCACAGTCCACTATAGCTGGCGTCCTCAACTGCGATGGGATAGCCTTGCACGCCAGTCGAGTTAGGTTTCTCGTAGCCTACCCCCATCTTCGTACATGTGCAGGCCCCTAGAGGGCAGTATCCATAGGTACACGCGAACCCGCACAGACCAGCAAAGTTGTTGGCGCCCGTGCCGTTCATACAGGTCTGCTCGGAGAGCAGGAGCTTTGGCCTGGCGGACACCCTGACGCCTGTTGCACTACCGACCCAGGCATTTCAGTTCTGGATCCCATTGGGACAGCTAGCAGAGATGGGTTTGCCCTGAATAGTGGTGATCACCTGGTTATCGCGGAGCAACGACACGGTCACTGGTCCCGTGCGGCCGTCAAAAGCCACACTGCCATGGTAGACTCCGATATTACCATCCGGGACGGAGCTCCACGCGGCAGTTTGGGCTGACCCTCCAATTGAGACAACGACCCCAGAAAACGAGCCAAGCACGGCGGAGAAAAAGACCCTATCCTGGGCCATCTGCACTGGCGAAAATTCAATCTGCAGCTGAGACGCAGTGTTGCCACTGGTGCCGCCACTGCCACAAGCCGCCGCGGGACTCAGCCGATACCAGGCCACGAGTTTCTCTTCGGTGACGTCGGCGGTTCCCTTTTTATACATGTCGATCCAGAAAGGAAGGGTAGCGCGCCAGCCATCATGGGGCATATCAGTCACATAGTTGAATGGCGCTTCTCCAATTTGAAACGCCTCCATGGCTTTGTCATACAATAGGTCCAATATAGTGAGATTCGCCGTAGTCATTCCATGAAATAATCTCGACAAACTCCGGCTGGACATAGAGCACCTCCTGCCACCGGTCATGCCACAGATGGTCTCCCCGCCACATCCAGTTCTTTTTATAACCCGGCAGATTGGTAAAGAACCACGGGGACACGGGCATCATGTACGGCATACTGGCGAGATATTGAATATAGGAGGCGTCGATATAGGTGTCCATGTCCTGAGGGCCCCAAGGCCAGCCGGCCCAGCTGAACAGACCGTCCACTACCCCGGTTTCCACCGCCGGCTTGGCTCCGAGGGATGACCAACTGGGGATGAAAAAGCAGCCGGTAGCAGCCTTGATTGAAGGCCAATCTTTGGCACGGCCGGGTCCTTCGAACGTGGAGACAAACGCTTGTCCTCGATAGAAGAAGTAAGATGAGTGAGCACTATACTGGTTGATCAAATTGATGACATCCGTCTTTGGCCAATTGCCATTTCCAGCATAATTAAAAGAAAAGAAGAGCTTGAAGCCGACTGATTCCGCTGCTGAGAAAGCAGCAGGGAGCGCGTCCATGTTAGTTGGGTCATTATAGGCCATATTCAGCGCAAAAGCGTCAATGTGCGCCTCTTGTGCCAGTTTCATGTCATTCTTCCAGTCATTGGATGTGTAGTTGGCCGAATTGGTCACCTAGGCTTCTCGTTAACCAAGTCGAATAGCCTCCGTAGATGAAAAGCTGATTCTTACCATGAAGTGAGCAAAGACAGCCGCTGCCTGCACTCGGCAGGCAAGCAGAAGGACCGTGACCAAAGCCACGAAGGACGCCATGGCTGGCCTGACCCACAGAAGAACGAAACAATGGAGGTTGAAGCTCAGTACCTCTGGATTTCCCTCGCCTTTTGACAGATACAGGGACAACCCATTCTCCGTTTGTTATGCCTGGAAGGGGTGAGAAATTCAAATATTTTAGGAACCCCACTACCGAGTCCGATTTCGACTTCGACATCGCTTCGAGTGAGTCGGAAATTAGATCAGTATTATTGTTTAGTTTACCCGTGAAGCCTTGTGCTGGGAAATTTAGTGAGAAACTAGGCGATACACCAAGTGGACTATAACGATGTGACTAGCGTAACGTAATCGGACACCGAGCGAGACACCCTTTAACCCCTTCAACCCTGCAACCACCAAATCACCATCAGATCCAGGTTTCCATCCAATATGGCATTAAAACAACCTGATTCAACAGTCAAATTAGAAGGTCGCATATTACTTGCTGTCAAAGCATACCAAAATGGCCAGTTTAAAAGTATACGAGCAGCAGCAGCAGCATATGATGTTCCACATTCCACTCTAGCCCATCGAATCAAGGGTCGAAAAGCAAGGACC